CAAGACAAAGCTTGGTCAAGTACTTATATTCTGGATTTTTTAAAAGGTGACTCTCTTTCAGGAAACAAAGCTCAATGGTGAGATCTCCATACTAAACTGGTGGTGGTGATAAAGGACATGTCACCTTCCTTTGAGGACACTCGGTTTGTCTTCTATTGTCAAATATTTGTGCTCTCTCTCCCTTGTGCCCCCAATGACTCAATGTGTATCTACATTGTTGATAGGTGTGCACAGGAATAATCTTTGCTTTCATTAATGGTCCTTCCTCACAGAAATAGGCTCACAACTTGTGTGAATCAAGCCAGGCATGAAACAAGGAGTTGCAGAGACTATCAGATAATAATGTCAGTCTGTCCTGCAGTTCCCAGGTCCACACAAACTGGGGAGGGACACAGGGGGACCGAGGTGGGGACAGAGTGTTTGCTCTCCTTGAGCATCTGGGGAAACAGTTACCAGTTCCAACTCTGTTCACCTTTCCATTTTTGTCCTATATCTTGTCAACTGTGTTGTCTTAGCCTGTGGATCTTAGAATAACAGAGTGATTTGGCTTGGAAGGACATTAAAGATCCTCTTGTTCCAACCCCCTGCCGTGAGCAGGGACACCTTCCACTGTCTGGTTGCTCACAGGATCCTTCAGCTTCTTTGACTTTGCTACAGTGTCTTTGCTACTACCCTGCTGCAGAAAAAGGGGATTTTCTCACAGGTTTCTATTAGTGTTTGGAATCACTCAACTGTTACCAGCAGAGCTGATAAACAATGCTGGTTAGAAATTAAACAAAATTTGTCTTGCTTCAGCTATCTGCTTGCAGTGTTCTGATTTTCCAATATATATCAACTAATGGGGATTTATGAAGCATAAACACATCAGATTGATTTTTTTTTTTTGAAACTAGACCCAACTTGCAGCTGTCTGCTGTACAAAACTTGCTTTGACTTTTAAACCAAATAGGAGTTACGGGGAGAATTAGCAAGGAGCAGATTTTAGGCTACATTGTGGCATTAAGCTACAACCCAGGTGCAGCACAGAACCACTGCACTACAGCAGATTCTCAGAGCAATAACAACGACCCTGAGAACATCCCAATTTCCTGGTCATCCCATCCCTACATCAGGCACAGCAAGTGTTCTCAATGCAATTTATTTTCCTAGGTGAGGCTGCAAAGAGAACTGATCCCACTCAGGTCTTTTAGGTGTCTGACTCGGGTTCTCAGGACTTCCCTCTCACAAGGATTAGTTTCTGTCTGAGCCACCTGCAGCCAGCTTTCAGTCCACAATGGGATGTTCCCAAGCAGAAAGAGCTGCCCAGCTGATGTGGCTTTTTTGGGAGTGACAGCTCTTTCCCAATGCCATAGGACGTGTGCATGCTTCTTACCCACCTTGGGGCAAAATCTTGCAGCTCAAAAACTCAAAAACTGGTTAAAAAACCAGTTTTTTAAGCTGAGCTTAAAAAACCCTCCAAAATCTGCATAAGTAAGTAATTTCTTAATTACTAGAGCTCAGTACAGAAACAACCAGCCTATATTTTTCTGTAATTTCTGTGGTAAAAGGCAAATCTACAGAATGCTTTGGCTGGTTATGTGGCAGGTTTGCAGCACACTGGGTGGCTCAGATGCCCACAAATACATCAGAACCGTGTTACTTAATGGTGAAAAATGGCCATTATTTTGTGTTATTACCAAGTTACAATTATTACCAGTAATTACTGTTATTACTAATGAAATTAGGACTCCTTGAGATCCGAAAGATTCCCCAGAAAAGAAAGCCAAACCTAGAATTTTTGAATACTGTGCGGAGAAATTTGTCTAAAATACCTGAAATGAGCAGGATGTTTGTGGACCAAACACCCCTTCTTTTACCCTTTATAACTTTACTGATTTTATGATTAAATGATTTTTTAAATCATTTTTACTGAATAAATGCCCCACTGTTGAAACCATGGAATCACTGCTTGTTATTATTACCTTGTATATAAAGGAGTGTATTTGAGAGTAGAAAACTTTTTCATGATGACTCAACTCCTGTTGAAGTCAGCAGGAAGTGGACTTTTAGAAGGAGCCTTTCAGAAAGCAAGAATTCTGCCTTTAGCACATATTAACTTATGCAAATATTCCCTAGGATGTACTACATGGCCCAAATGCAGTGCTACCTGTAAATGATACAGAATTTTGTAGGATAAAGGAGGCAGAGCACTGATTCCTTGTAAATCCATGTGGGGAATTTGAAAATGAGCCCTGCAACCAGGGAAGTGTCTTAATCCAACCCATAAATTTGAAATAATTTGGTATGTTATAAGAAAGATTCAAGTGATGTTGACTAAAACTTGATAATTTTCTTAACTTTCATAGTTCTGAAGCACAATCAGGTACAGCTTGGCAGCCAACTTTCAGTTTGGAGTTATTTAAACTCGGATTTGTCACAGGACATAAAACTTACGTGGGTTCAGATCCGTTGAGATCAAACATTAAGACATGTCTGGATGAACAAAATTTCCAGTTTCACATTGACAACCAGATGATTGAGCAAAACCAGCTGGCCAAACAATCACTAAAGTCAAACCTGGCACAACATTTCAGTAGCTTTTTATTCTTCAGCAATTACAGTCCACTAAAAACCTACTTACTCTTTCAAATACACAAATGAAGGTCTATTTTAGCACTTTTCTTATACTGTCTTAATTTCTGTCAGTACTTTTTTCTCTTACCTTTAACTGCTTCTCTTCCTGTCTGCTTGACTAATTAAATCTAGGTCACAATGGGGAAAACTCCTCCTTTGCCCTTCCTTTTCTGTATTCCCTGTGCATTTTTTGATCTGTACTGCACACCCAGAGGCAGTGCACAGCCCTTGGCTGTAGATTAAATCCTAGAATTTACTCTAGTAAATTTACTAAATTTACTAGAGTAAATCCAAAGTGGGTTTTGTTAAAAAAATGGTGGGTTTTGTTAAAAAACAAACAAACAAAACCAAAACAAAACACCAAAAAACCCCAGAATTGAAACTGAGAACATTTTACTTATTCTGTACCTGTGCACACAGCATATGGCAGCTGGGAAGTTCCCATCATCATTGGATTTGTCTGCTTTTCCACATATGCTGATGATGAGCTCTTTCCTAAGTTGCTATGGACAAAAGAAACCTCAGGGAACAAAACTCCAAAGGAATTACAAACCTCAGTGAGTGTGATACACCCGTGCACATCTTAATTGCCCCAGGTATCACATTTAAAACATTTATAAAAGCAAATTGGTAACGTTTCTGTTTAGTTCCTATGGAAGTGCCTACAATTGGCTTCTGATTGTGCCTAATTAAACGGTTCTTCTGAACATTAATGTATCACTGAGATTTCAGTAGTTGCCATTTGATGAAATCGTGTCAAAATATTTCGGCTGGGAATTTTTTGGGGCCATCTGGTGGAACAGAACCGCAGTGCACTGAACGTGCTGCTGCCCATCCCGGGGCACGGGCACAGCTGGGCATGGCCCCTGCATCCCGGGCATCCCACCTGCATCCCGGGTATCCCACCTGCATCCCGGGCATCCCACCTGCATCCCGGGCATCCCACCTGAATCCCGGGCATCTCACCCGCATCCCGGGCATCCCACCTGCATCCCGAGCATCCCACCCGCATCCCGAGCATCCCACCTGCATCCATGGCATCCCACAGGCACCCCGGGCATCCCACAGGCACCCCGGGCATCTCACCTGCATCCCGGACATCCCACACGCATCCCGGGCATCTCACCTGAATCCCGGGCATCCCACCTGCATCCCGGACATCCCATCTGCACCCCGGGCATCCCACCTGCATCCCGGGCATCCCACAGGCACCCCGGACATCCCACTTGCATCCTGGGCATCCTACCTGCATCTCGAGCATCTCACCTGCATCCCGGGCACCCCACCTGCATCCCGGGCATCTCAACTGCATCCTGGGCATCCCACCTGCATCCCGGGCATCTCACCCACATCCCGGGCATCCCACCTGCATCCCGAGCATCTCACCCACATCCCGGGCATCTCACCTGCATCCCGAGCATCCTACCTGCATTCCGGGCATCCCACCCGCATCCCGAGCATCCCACCTGCATCCCGGGCATCCCACCTGCATCCCGGGCATCCCACCTGCATCCCGGGCATCCCACCTGCATCCCGGGCATCCCACCTGCATCTCGAGCATCTCACCAGCATCCCGGGCATCCCACCTGAATCCCGGGCATCTCACCCACATCCCGGGCATCCCACCTGCATCCCGAGCACCCCACCCGCATCCCAGGCATCTCACCTGCATCCCGGGCATTCCACCTGCATCGCGGGCATCCCACCCACATCCCGGGCATCCCACCTGCATCCCGGGCAT